TGTCTAGACTAAAAGAAATGCTAAGCACAACAATATTTTAAAAACCCAATGAAGATTGTTTCCTCGGATCAGTTCTGCACACAAAAAACCCAAAACAAACCAAACCAAAACACCAAACAACAACAAAAAAAATCTTCATATCTTTCTAATATAAAAATCATCTCTGGTCCTTCTGAGCAGATAATAGAAAGTCAGGATGTACCAAGCGCACTGATGTACTACTTTGTCTTTCTCCTAGATTCCCTTATAGTTTCTTTCTCTGATCAAATACCTTCTATCTCTGCTTTCAAACCTTTTATTTTTATTTTTGTTTCTTGCTGTGTGTGCACAGAGGGACTGGAGAGCAGATGCACTCACTGAGAGATGTAACGCTGTAAATGAGAAGTCGTTTCAACTATGCTTAATCTGCATCTTTAAAAAATATCTACTCATCAGAAGCAAAGAACTTCACATGGTAGCTGATTAAAACCATTGCCAGTTTTTTTGGGGAATTTTAAAACTCTGATTTTTATCCCTGAAAAAAAATATTGAAGCAGCATGTTGTTCTGTTATGTAAGGGATCTATCAATGATAGAAAAAAATAAGTTATATAAAATGTGCAAGAAAATTGTTTACTCATGATAAACATTACTGGTTGGGATTTACCATAAAGAGATCTCAAGACAGCAAAAATTCTTCAGATTAATTAGAAAAAAATTCAAAGTACTTATTTCTTTTCTATCAGGAGGAAAACAATAAAAATAAAGGGATTAAAGTCTTTAATTTAACAATCTTTTAAATTCTTGTTGTGTGAAACTCGGGCAAAAGGCATTACATGCCAATAGGCAGGAAAATGATCATTTTTATAAGCTGCATTTTTAACAAAAAAAAGATAATGTAAAATGACCTGTTCAATTTTACTTCACATTGAACCAGAACTCACTCTAAATCACTGATCTTTAGCATTCAACATTCAATTTCCTTCTATTTAAATGTGTATTTTTAAGAGATTGAGCTTACATGGGCTTCATGTATAATTTAAATTCCCCAGGCAAAGCTATTTTATTACTATAATCACATTAAATGTAAGTGATCTATAGAAAAAATATTTAAGTGGGAGGGAAATGGAAACAAATGGAAATGTGAAATGAAAAGTAAATGCTGCTTGAATATATTTCTTAAGTGAAGACTTCAAGTGAGAGAATCTGGAAAGAAAAGTGGCCGTGGAAATCCAACTCTATGGAATCCATAAAAATGCAGGGAACACTGAAAAATCAGTGAATTGAAGATTCACTGCAGATTGAGTAAAATAATTCAAATGGCAAATTAACATCTCCTACATTGGCACTTGAGTTCTTTTAAAAAATCTGATCCATTACTAAGTGACATACACTTTCAAGAATCTGGAACTCAGATAGATTTTTTGATGCGATACCAAACCCAGAGGTACACAGACTAAGCCCCAGGAAATTCTAACTATTCAGCCAGCTTTTCAGATTAATTTATTTTTTAAAAGGTTTACATTAATATCCAATTCCTGTCAAAAGTGTACAGATGGAGAAAAAAATCCACAGTAAACAACCTAACAGAATAATCCTGCTATTAAAACAGAGAAAGGCCATCCTGAATGGCAATTGGTATAGTTGTTGGCAAGATGATTAGCAGTACCACTAGCACCTTTAATCTAATTGGACTCATGCAAGTAAGTTAAATTATCCTCAGGATTAATGTCTTAAGGGTAAAGCTGAACTGAACCAAGCATTTAAACATTATTTTTGGATCTGGCTCATTATACCACCTGGGATGGGAACGTGCTGATCTGCTCTGATCTGCACTGACCCCCATCAGTAACAGTCTCTGCAACCCAAAGGTGCTGGACTGACACAGGAGCTCCTCACAGGTACTGGGATCATCACAGCCACCCCTGCTGCTACTGATGAATTGAATTAACTTGCTCCTAAGTGCGGCCAAAATGCTGACACCATACCCTGATCTTAGGGACCTGTACACTGCATGGTTTCTAATATTCAGGGAGGAAAGAGTTCTTTTCATTTCTCACCAGATTTGTCATTGAAAACAATGCCATTTTTCACAATTATATTTTAGAAAAATCACATTTTCACAGTGAAGCTTCTGGCTCATGTCGTTGAACCAGTATCAAAAATGAGGATTCAATTAGTTAATTGCTGCAATTTCAGTATTTAAAATTATTCTTAGTTTTACTCTGTTCTGGTTAGGGCTCTAATACCCTGACAGAATCTGATCCTAGAGGAAAGGAGGACCATTTTTTCCATTCATTCGTCATAAGTTTCGTCATTCATTCATCATTCATTCGTCATTCATGACTCATATTGTCCTTTGAAAGGATTTATTCAAGCCACTGTAGAGATCTTCTGTGAATTCAGCCCTGGAATTACATGGCATCACCAGGATGTGCCAATAACATTCACATTCAAATGAGAGATGAATTATGGAAAATTTTTAATGATGATCCATCACTCTGGTGATGTATCATTTATGAACATTGTCTGGACAATGTCAGAATCTGACCCTCTATATGGTGTCTGGAAATGCTTCTCAAAGTGGAATCCCACAGAGGTCTTCCACAAGGTGACAGATAAGTCAGAAAGTGACAGAAAGAGTGTCTTGCACTTTCTGGAGAAATAAATACAGCAGACAATTTAGGAATAAAGTTTAACAAAGAATATTTAATGATTACACATTTACTCTAAAGACAAGAGTAACAAAGTTTTGCAAACATTCTGTGATGCTTTTGTCTCTCATCTAGTCTCATCCTTCTGTGTGGTGGGAAACCTTTTGGTATGTCAGTCTAGGTGAAGTCCTACAACCCATTTGCTTTCCAGTCTCTCCCAGTGTGGTCTTTCTGAAGTGCAATATCCTTTTGAATGGATATTCAGACATCAAATTTGTTTCTTGTTATTCCTAGGGTATTGTATGGAGATTCTCTTGTTTTGCAGGGACTGCTAAGAGCTGGAGAGTCACCAAAGTCAATGTTCCTGCTTTTGTCTTGAAAAGGTTTTAAAGATCAATGCACAATAATAACAGAAAAGAGGCCTCAAGATTGTCACAAGAATGGTAGTACCAGAATCAATACATAATTTCTGACAGACAATTGCCAATTTTTTGGACAGAAGATTCCAATCTTCTCAAAATTGCTGTCTTCCTAATTTCACCAACCACTTACAGAGAAACAGTAAAGTGAAATACCTTCTGGCCTAACAGTCCTACCTCACTTGGTCTTTGCTGATTGCTCATACTACCCAGAGTGCTCTCCCAGGCAAACCTTGATAGCAGCAACAACACAGGATGATGCATGTCCTAAGCCACATTCCTTCCTGCAGGATCTGCAATATGTTTCCCATATATCTTGAATATTTTAAGGCTGCATGGGCCATCCTCCGGGGTGCAGGTCTCTCCCTACAGTTCTGTACATGGTTGCATGAAACACACCTTTATGTTTGACCTACTTCAAATAGCTCCTATGCTTAGCATTTGAAGATGAAAACATTAAGTTCACAACAGAAATTCCATTCAATCTTTTTACTTTGCTTTAAAACAGACTTTAAAACAGACTCCTACTTCTAAATCCTTCAGAGTTTTTAAATTACTCCTCCCTTCCTTCCTTCCTTCCTTCCTTCCTTCCTTCCTTCCTTCCTTCCTTCCTTCCTTCCTTCCGCCCTCCCTCCCTCCCTCCCTCCCTCCCTCCCTTATCTTCCACACAATTCATGCACTAATCCCTATCTTCTCACTTTTAAATGATTGCCACATCAAATGCTTTATTGAAATACAGAGAGATTACATCTATTTCATTTTTCTTGTTTAACATGGTCTTATTTTAGATGTGTCTGGTGTTACCTCTCTTTGATAAGTACAAGATGGCACACACAGACTGATCCAGATATACCCTGATCATATTCATTAAAAGAAATTTACATTTCTTTCCCAACCCAAATGGACCCCCTATAAAACCATTTCACTCCTACAAAATTCACATTTCTTCTAGGAATTAAATCTATTTTCATTCTTGTATTTTGTGTTCCTAACCACTCTGAAGATACCGTGTAAGGCCAAAGGTGGGACTAATACCAGTGGAATCAAATACTAGTGGTATATTCTCTGCGGAAAGTAACTAAAAAAGAACTATACCTGTGATTGCCACACCAGATAGAGTTAATCTGTAATAGTTATTGTGGTAGAGGCATTTTTCTGCAAATCCCCTTCTGCAAAAATATTAGGTTTTACAGTACCTGCAGGGAAAACTGATGTGCAGTTATTCCAGTAATATCTTCTCTAGTCCCACTCTTACAAGACACAGTCAATGCCAGTAGCAAGAGAGAAATGCTCCAAGAAAAAGATAAATGAAATATCTCCTTTGAAGGGATATAGAATTTGGCATAAAAAAAATCAGTATATTCATTCCCTACAGAAAATACAGGATCGCATTCTCAGGTGAGAGAGTATTTCTGATGCTTCAAAGTACAGACAAAAATAAAAATAGTAGAAAATCTAATACACCTGACTGTTTAATAAAATTCTTCCCTGACATTCACAGTGGATATAGTGAAGCACCCATGAAATATCCTTACATCAAATTCAATGGAGCTGGTCTCTAAATTCATGCAGGAATAACTTAACACTAAATATAGCTGCACTAAGAACATTGTCTCTATGAACCAATAGTTAATATTGAAGAAGATCAAATCAGCCAGATTCTTGTCTCAGAGTTGAGAGAAAGGGATTAAAAGCATTTTCCAAGTTTTCATCAGTTCATATGCTCAAAATCAGAGATTTGGTCATTATCCCACAAGTGTCCACAGTGAAAAATTATAAAGATTTTGAAAGCTGAAGCTCCATCCAGCTATCCATCATTCGCTAGCTCTCCTGTCTCCATTATCTTTCTCTTCAGGGTTTTCTTCTCTCTTATGTCACACCTGCATTAATATGATTTTTCAGCCATCTGCCAGAGTAGATTGGGTCTAGATGATGCCTTTTCTTTTCTTTTTGTATGACCATATTGGGAAAGTGGTCAGGAACTGAGAATAAAGATAAGAAAGAATGGGAGTTAGGAAAAAACTTTGATCTGTAGTACAGTCATCATGTATATTATGACATTAAATGACACCTGAGATGGTCATGGAGAAGGTTCTCAAATTGTACTTTGTTTTCCCACTTCCATCTAGCTGAAAAAAACCCAAAACTTTTTTCCTTTTAGCTGAGAGAAGGAATACTACTACAAAGGAATAAGTAGGTACCCAGAGCACAGAAGCTTGGCAACTTGTTGACATTTACACAGAAGGGTGAAAAGTACACCAAGTGGGTCATCACACCATGTGTGTGACTTGAAGAACACATAAGTCTCTTAATGGTATGAATGAATCAGAAGCTGTGACCGTGTATGCATTTTAGAAGGGCAGAATTTGTCCCATTATGTTGTCTGGAGAAAAGTATGACACATTGTAATGTGCTCTAATTTATTCTCCTGTGTGCAAACTCATTGTGAATGCAGAAACAGACATTGTGGTGGCTAGATTTAATAGGATTAGGACTCCCTGATGCCTTGCTTGTACAGTGATTGTTCAAATTCTTGTAGAAGGAGCATTTTAATTTCATTTCTTTGTAAAATTCAAACTTCATTACCTCTTCAGCTCATTTATAATTTAATTCATTACATAATATTTATTTTCTCATCTAATAGTTACACTGCTACTTCACCTTCCTAACTGTGATGGTACAGGGCTGAGTTTTGGATTTGTGCTGAGCACAAGGTTGATAATATTGGGGTGGTTTTTTTTATTGCTGAGCAGGACTTGCATAGACTCAAGGCCTTTTCTGCTTTTCTTACTGCCATGCTGGCAAGGAAGTTGAGAGATCACAGGAGGTTGGGAAGGGTCACAGCTGGGACAGGTGACCCCAACTCACCAAAGGGATATTCCAAATTATATGACATCATGCTCAGTATTTAAAGTGGGAGAAGAAGGAGGAAGAGGGGGACATTTGAGTGATGGTGTTGGTCTTCCCAAGTAACTTTTACATGTGATGGGACTCTGCTGTCCTGGAGATGGCTGAACAGCTGCCTGCCCATGGGAAGCGGCAAATAAATTCCTTGTTTTGTTTTCCTTCTGTACACAGCTTTTACTTTCCCTATTAAACTGTCTTTATCTCAACCCATCCGTTTCCCAGTTTTAATTCTTCCAGCTCTCCCTTAACGGGCTGCTGTCTGCGGTTATGCTATGACAAGAACAGGTGATCTCTCTGTACAGTACTCTCTATATCAGGCTTGGTAGTTTTATTCTGTTGCTGATTTTCTGTTGCAATTCTCTCTTTAGTCCTAATAACTACCAGACTCATGTTCCTTGTAACAGGATGCTCCTGTATATTCCCTACAGTGCAAAACTCAGTTTCTTCTTTTAGTTTAAGCACAGCTGGAGAGAATGACCAGATTAAAGAGAAAACCTGTCAGGTATCTCAGACTAATTTTCCTCTAGGTATCCATTATACTCAGTTTTGGAAACCATTCTCAATTCTCTCTTGTATACAAGATGGCGACTTGGCTGCACCAATGACCAAGCAGAGGCTGTTTGGTCATTGTTACTGGCATGAGCAGGAACTTATTTCTGGCAGACTGTTGCAGTCTCTAGGTTTTTATGGTACTAACTGGGATTGGACAAAAAGGGTATTATCACCATGCTGGCATCACATTGATTCAAGATGTTTGTTGATATTGGTATTGCTTGGAAGATAGGACTGCATTCCTCACTGCTACTCTATCCCACCTTTAATAGGAACTGTGAGATCTGGTGTTAGTATATGGGTATCTTCTGTAACTGCAGCACAGAGAAGTATCTGTAACATTTGAGCCCCTTCATCACCCTAATAATTGACCACACGATTTCTATACATGTGCTTTATAACCAAAGCAAGGCAGAAACTAGCTCATCCATTCTGTAAAGAATACACTTAACTCAGTGTAGTCTAATAAAAAATAAAAGCTAGAGTGATAGCACCTTTCTGGAATGGAGTGTAAAAAAGATCTAAATTAAGCCACATTTGGATGACAATTTTTTAAATTCTACTCTGAACATGAGTCAGTGAGTTGGATATAGTGTTCTCTTTAGTAAACCACAAAATCACAGTGGTCTATTCTTCTTAATTATGCCAATAACCAGAGTTTCTAACATCTTCTCAGTGCCAAAACGATGGCTGGAAGGTTAATTTATTAATGTGATCATATGGTTTTGGTGCAAATGCAGTTTATCACCCAAAGCTCTAGAAATGAAAACTTCTATTTCAGAAAAATAAAAGGCATTTCTTTTTCCCCCTAAAGATCAAGGCAGAAGTTAACAGTCAGGGGTCACATTTGTCACTACAGCTTTGGACAAATGAAGCCTAAAGCTGTGAGATATGTGGTGATTTCTTTCTGTTCTGTTCTACTGTGGTCTGAATTCTGATTTGTCAGTTCTGTAGCACCCTTATGCAAAACCCATTGCCTTTGTAATCTCTTTTTAACTGTCAACATTTTACATTTTTTTAGTTTTAACTTTTTTTTTTTTACATGTAAAGTGTGAGCCCCCCATTTTTGATATAGTAGCAGGATATTTGACTACAGACCCATCTCCACTTCTTCCAAAAGTATAAATTGACATTTGAAATGCTCCACAGCAGAGGATGAGAATGCAGCCCCATGTGCAGACAAGACATCTCCTCTCTCTTCCCAGTACAGAGGCCTCTTCAGTAAGATTTGCACCTCTGCCTGTCTCAAAGCATTCATGGGTGAAGTTAAGCTTAATTAATGGTAAAATTAAGCTTAATGAATTGCAATTATGGAGGGTTTTTTTAGGTTGGTTTGGGGTTTTTTGAGTTTTTTGGTTTTTTTTTTTTTTGGTGGACTTTTTTGTTGATACTTTCTTTTTTAAGATTTAGCACTAAAGCATTAAGCATTTTTAAATGGCAATTCCAAACATTTATTTCTGTTGCTTCAGTGAACCACAATATTTGTGAACCTACACCTTTGAAAGTTCCTCTTGAACATGACCAAGCTGAGAGTGCCAAATGGGCTATAATCAGAATAAATCCCAACCACAGCCAGACCCTCTGATCTCTGAGCAGCAGATGGAACACAAGGAGTTTTATTTTCTGCTGAGTTTCTATACTCTCCATGCAGCAAGTTTCATTTCACCCAAAATTAAACAGAAATTGATAATTATAGGTAAAAAATAAAAAATACTGCCACTCAGCTTGGCTTGTAATACTTGATGTTTCACATGTTGAAGGTAAAAAATATATGGCTTTTAGTAATTATCTAGTATTAAAGTATAGTTCCATTTTGAAGTACTTTTCTTGACATTGCATGCTCAGGGGTCTGGTTGTCGAGGTGACCCTGAGATTGTAAAAAGTCTTTTTATTCCCAACC